CTAATACAGTGGCCTCTGGCTATTTTTAATTTTAATTTTTCAAACATTCTATAAACATTCCGCATTTTATATCAATTCCAGAGTGAGCAAGTACCTTGTAGCTGGTATAAAAAAAGAAATTGTGCAAAGAGGTAGGTTGAACTGCACTCTGTTTTGGTAGTTTTGCTGAAACATTCAACTTTGTTCATTTGCAGAATGAGGGAAATTGAGTGTTAGTGTATTTTAATATTCAGAATTTCTTTTTTTTTTATCATACAGTCCAGATGTAAAAACTATTATCCAACACTTAAGGGCACTTGCCCCAGGATATTCAGATAGCTCTTAGTTTGAAACTGACTTGTGGTAGGCCAATCTACCCACTTTGTTCAATGTGAAGAGCATGAAGAAATGTATAAAGATTTGGACCTCTAGCAGGATGGTCATGATGGCTCAATGGATTTGTTCTGTTTTGGAATACACAATATTCTTCCAAATTAGTGATTGTGTATTTTAATATTCAGAATTTCGCTTTGACAAGCTCTCTCTTTTTTGACCATACACCTGTTTGCATCCCTGGGTTTAATATCACAGTAAACAGTGGTTGAGCAAAACAGGCAAGTGTTTCTGGTTATAGTGCAACCAAACAAACTCAGTAATACGAGCTGGTTATGTTGCTTAGGAGTCAGAGGTGTGCAGCCTGTCGCCTGCAGCTCTTCATCTAACAGCTCACTATGACTGTCCCTCACTCTCCCATCACTACCTGCAATATATAAAACTAATTTGCTGTCAAAAAATGCAGAAAATAACTTGTGCTTTTTAGACACATTTTCAGTGATTTCTGCTGTCCACACTGTCGTTAGTGCAAATACATTGTGTTTCCTGTCTTCACAATAAAAGCCATCCCGTTGTTCTCCAGTTGAATCTTGATGTGAAGCAGCAGCAGTAGGACGTGTTGCGTTAGCATTAGCAGTAACTTAATACACCCTGGCACCTTGAATATATCTGTAGGAGAGTGATCAGTAAACACACATTATGAACAGTAGCAGTGGATTGCATTCTGCATTGTTTCCTGCCCATAGCACGTGTGTGTGTGTGTGTGTGTGTGTGTGTGTGTGTGTGTG